ACCTCGGAGCCGGCGGATGGTCTGCCAGAATACTTTGTTTGCCGTGTGGAAATTCGACTCCAATACCTCAGCAAACTTCTTCCAGGAAGCATTGTAATTTGGTTGGTCACTACTTATACACGACTTACTTCGAGCAAGAACAAAAACGTGGGATTCAGTGTACAATAAAACTTTGCAACCTCATCTCTTGAGGAATTTTATCCTACTGATTTACTAATTAACATACATACATACAAATTAATCATATCGAATTACGGAAAGAATTAACCGCAACAGGGGAACAGTAATGCGGTAGCACTTTATCAGCATATGCGCCAAGGGCACCAGTGTATTATGTCTGGATTCAACACATTAATAACTCAAAAGATAAGCTATTATGTCGCTATATGCAGGCAGGCAGGAAGCGATCTTTAACAGCACACAGAACGGCTTCGACACAAAATCAGAAACGTTTGGTACAGGTTGAGGAGAATTATTAAAATTCTTCGATAAGTTATTTAAGGTAACCAAGGGAACAGTCATCGACAATAAATCTTCCTTCATCCTGCTTATTCTTGCGAAAAATTTGCATGGAGCACTGACACTTTGCCCTGCATAACGCTTTCAGAAGACATTGACATCCAGAAGCTTCTTCGATGTCTTTCCTACAGGCAATGAAAGAAACATCCTCGACGTACCAAACTGCCTTTTCTGCAAAACACTGAGTTAATTATTCAAACAGAATATAAGCCATATTTTTAATTTCTTAGTGTCTTGCGTTAAAACCTGGCGAAAGGGAACGGAAACGTATCGAAGATCCATAACCCCCGTCTAAACGCGCGTTCTATGAAGTCTCATTGACGTTAAACAACAATACATGTATTTGCTGAATGTGTCAGTCTTCTTTCAGCTCCTTGCTCTATCAACTTTGCTTCGTAGTTGCGTACTGGCTTCATCGGCGGTTCGTCTGTTCGCGGAATATTTCTCTTAGCTCTAAGCGTGCAAGAGAAATTTTGTTATTTTCTGATAAGCATATTATTTCACATTTTTTGCTTTTGTCCAAAAAGGAATGATTTCTTTCCAGCAAAGAAACTTTCATTCATTCATGACTTTGGTAAGGGTTCCAAAGAAACGTATATCGAAAACCACAATAACCTACAGCAAGTAAATATACAAA